GTGTAGTTGTATTTTTCAAGTTGAACACAGTAAGGCTGGAACTTACTGTGACTCTCTTGGCCCTGAGTGAGCCGGTAAAGCTAGGAAGTTTTCCTTTTACTCTTATGCAGAAGAAAAAACAACTTCAAGTGGCAGCATGAAATAAAGCAATTCCTGGGCTCTGAGTGTCGGGTCTGCTACTTGTTCCCAGAATATGCTGCTATAGCGATTATTAGAGCAACAGTAACTAAACTTATTTAACAATGAATCTGTGTTGAAGCATTAAACCTTAATTACTGCAGCAGTATCAACAGGCATGTTAAAGCAGGAATCCACAACATGCCGAGTTATGTGTCAGCTATAGAATTAGCACTTACTAGCTCCTCTAAATGGGCGCTTGTCGATAGGAAGGAGTGTTTGCCTACTCTGGCATACAATAGCTTCCATTTACAGAGAAGAAATGGTAACTAGGTAGTGAGCTATATTTTACTAAAATAAAGGGGAAGCACTTTGATTTCTTTGTTCTATTTAACAGTGGTCTCAAGCAAGCTGGGCAGAAGTTTGTTATAGATGGAGATTAATCTGTCCTTGCTAAGGGAAGTTCACTTAGCGTTCTCCAGACAGCTTAGTGCAGTATAATACTCAATTTCCAAGCTAACAGCTTTATTAACATCCTCAGAAGAGGATGGTTTTTTTCCCCATAAGTTTACCAAACTATTCTTAGCTAGAAGGTAGCCTAGTGGGGTGTAGGTTTTACAAACCACAGAATCTTTCAGTAGGCAATTCTATAGCCCTGGAGTCAGCTTGCTGGTATTTGCTAATCCCTACAGAGACCATTACAGTTTACAGCAACAACAGCTTTTGAACAGCATCATTGGGGATTAACAATGCTGGTTCTACCATTACTGCAGAACAAGAAAATTCCTAGTAGCAAATGCAATCCCAGAAGAGCAGCTAAATTTAATTCTTCCCCTATGACAGGCTGCATCAGAGCTAGACCATAACTAGACCAAACTCTTCAAGTGCAAGTGACATAAGTTGTAGCTCTTTGTGCATCATCTACAGCTACAAGATCATACTTGTGTTTGAATCTCTCTTCCACTAGGTTATGAAGAGAAGAGATATTACATTTACCAAAGCATCACAGCAGTGACTCCCTTCCCAACAGTCTGGGATGACTCCTTAAAGATGCATTAAGACTTACCACAAACTTTCAGCTCTAGCCTACAAAACAAGAATACTACCACAGCTAAGTGCAGGCTAGCTGTACCAGTAGAAGTGACTAGTTTTATATGGTGTCTCAATTATATTCCTGAGATGAAGAGCAGGTGAAGGAAACTTCCTAAACAGAATATCAATGTGCACAAGAGGTGAATATTATTAGATGTTTTGTTCAAGAATGATGTTCTACTTCATACTGCAGAAGTCAGTCGAATGTTCGAGTGACTGAATTTCAAATGTGATTAGTTCAAGGGTAGGGGGTATAAAAGACGTCCTTTCCTGTCTGAAATTCTACAAGGTCTCAAGTCAACTGCTGCCAAGACCATCGCTAATTTGGTGAGCATTACTAGTAGGTTCTTCCTTATGGAAGTTATAACATACACCCTCTGACTTGGGCATAAACCCACCTGATCATTTAGGAGTGCTTTGCAATACTTTTATTTACATGCTTTCCAGCTACACCTCACTACGTACCTTCAAAAAACAGCAACAACAAAAAAAGTCTGCTCTATTTGCAGTTTTGTACAAGGGCCCTAAACAAAAAAAAAAACAAATTCAGATAATGTATTTGAAACTGAATGTGCTATCGCAGGAGAGGCGTTTGCCCTTGCATCTCCCACAGAGATCTTGGCGATGAGGCCTCTTGGGATCCACATGGCGCATCTTCACAGGGCAGGTGCACCTCGTCTGCTTGCAGCTCTGGGGGAGAAGGGCAGGGCGATAGCAGGGCAGTGTGGCGGGGCGCAGGGGGCTGCCGGCGGGGCACGGGGCCGGCCCTTACCTGGCAGGTGATGTCCTCGACGCGGTAGGGGTTGTAGGACTTCTGGCACGTCCGGCAGAACTGCCGGAAATAGACCTGCGGGGAGCGCCGCGGTCAGCGCC